AAAAAAAAAAATAGATGGCTGATCAAAGCCAAGAGATGAGATAGCTTCCAAAGTTGTATGATACGATACATTTGTTCAGGATAATGAGAAGTGATCCAATTATTTGCTCTCGCTAGAAGTGAAACCAGAACATAACTTCTGCTGCATTAAGTACAATGCATACACAGTACATCACACTTCTGAGACATCCAGGCATAGCTTCCATATTCTGCAACGTAAGCCTACAGATTAAGTAGTTTGGGAAAAATTAAAGAATTTGGAAGTAACTGCTGGTCCCCAAGGATCACAAGGAGAGGCTACAGAAGGATTCTCCAGAGAGATTATTCACTTCGGGAGTATGCTGCAGTATCCAACAAGTTTGGTTTACAAGTTTGTATGTCTTCTCTAAAAAAAAAAAAATAGCATCAAGCAATGAAAGAAAATGTAAAGTCAACTTACTCTTGGATTTGCAATACATGCTCCCCTAATTCAGGCTGTGATCCAGGTCATTAACACAGATTTATCCCCCTCAAATTGTTATCCAATGCTGCTCTAATGTTTTAGCTTGGTCCAACTTACATTGTGCTAATCTGTCATGCTAGTACATTAGAGGCTTTTCTCAGGGCTGCATGCTGAAATAGTTTTGATTCAAATTATTTTTGTGCAGAAAATTCTAAAAAATTTTAACTTTGTAAGAAAACCAGTTCTATTGTCCTAATTTTTGCTTCTGAAAATAAGCAACAATTAAAGCCCACTATTTAAGAATGACATACCATGTGACATTGCTTGAAACTTGAGATTAATTTCTGCAATTGCAGAAGTTTTTTGTAGATTTTACAAAATACCCTTGCTGTGAAGACTGCCTTGTGAAGTCAGTTGCTTATTCGTTTTCTTATTCTTCAAAGAACAGAGTAACAGCTAGTCTTCAGTAGAAAAATCTTTTTATGTCAACTAACTTGTGACAAATTCACAGACTTCAAAAGTTGATCTACACTTCTATAGCCACCGCTACCACAAAGTACACTGTATGCATTAGAAGTGATAGATATCTGAATTAAAAAAATGGAAATACAGCTTCCTATTAAATACACTATAGCGAAATAAAAAGAATAGCCTATTTCAGTGTTTTACTGCTATCATCAGCATCAGACCATTTGATCCCAACTGAAGGTATAGCATTTAGATAATTTAATTATGCTCCCTTTGAGTAGTAGCCAACAATTAAAGACAACAAAAATAAACAAAAAACCCTTCAAATTACATCTGTTGCTTTGTTGAAAGAATTACGGTTGCTTCATGGGTGCCTCCTTTTCTCTACCCCCAAAGAATTAAACACAGATTAAGAAATTATCAACTAACACATAACAGCAGTTGTCTTATTTGGAAGGAGACAGCTTTGGTTTTGAATAAAGCACTCCTGAAAAGTATGTTAGCAATTTTGTTACTGGTACAAACCCAGATTTTTCATCCTGAGATGAGAAATTAATCTCACAGATGTTTTGCAGAAGAGAAACAGTTTTTTCTGCATTACCTGAATATAACATGGCTTTTTCTTAAAAGCTACCCTCATTTTGTTATATTTCATAGAGAACAGGCTCTCTAGGATCAACTTTCTGAGAGACAGAGGAGAAAATGTTTCCGCTCAGGCACAAGCTTTATTAACAGCAGCCCTCAGCTTCAATATGCCCCTCACAGAAGTGCTATTGCCTCAAAATATATATCCTTTTGTCTGTTGTGTCAACTACAGAGCTGTCATTAAACTCTGCCAAATAAAAGTGTAAAACCTAGACATTGAGAAACCAAATGGAATAAAACAATCTTCTGAAGAAAATCAACAGTGCTAAAAGAAACCATACCAGTTAGCCACAAACTGGATTTTACTGCTGTTACTTAAATTATGGTTTCTAACAAATCAAATACTGATTAAAACAGTTTTTGTATAAAATTGCAACAAATACTTCATCAAACTTTAAGAGTTACGTATCAAAAACAACATGTAACAATAGATTGTTGTTTATATAAAACAAGAACAGTTTACTAACTTTGACAAGTGAAAAAGTATTGATCTCTAGGTCACTGAATAGGTTCCAACAGTCAGTTTTTCACGTTTGCCAGCTGAAATCACTAACAAATATTTTGCACAGACTTTGGTGCTTTAAAGCTAGCAGTCTGTCCACAATAAGTTTTAGAAGCCTACAGTCAAGATCTAACATCAATAATTACTCATTATTCTATTGTCATTTTGCAACCCTAGGGGAGAACATTCTTAACCTGTGAAACATGAAAAGCCATTTTGTACAGTGTTTCTTACCTATAACAAGCCGTTCCATACGGACATTCAGGCTGGTTATCATTGTTATCCTGAGTTACAATCTCCATTTCATGATCGTCATCATCATTAGGGTGACTGAACTGCTGAAAGTGAACGGGATTCTTCCTGCAAGAGATAAATACATATCGAGAACTGACTGTTCCACATAAACACAGGAAGCAGAGATAAACAGGGACAACTCATTTTTTCTGCGGTTACACGAAGAGGAGCTTTGAATGTTTAACTTCATGCAGAATATATGACCTGCTTTCAGGATAACAGAAGAAAAGCGTTGTCTCAGCACACACTGAGAATTTTCCTATTTGCCATCAGCTTTAAGATTCAGACCTCCAACATGTGCACAACCTCCTGATGTAGTCATATAGCATGAATCTTACTCAGTGGCTGACTTGCCCAGTTACGACTCCCTCTGGAGCTATCAAAGTGCTACAGGAACTACTACCAAAGCCTTAGCTCCAGCTGGAAGGGGCAACGGCAGTACTAAGGACTTCCCACACCCTCGGGTGATCCCTTATTAGCTCCAGCCGATATGTCTCAACTGTTATTTCTAGTCTGTATGCAAGTTACTACTCACCTGAATACTTCAAACACCAGCCTATTATTCCACATGAAGCAGTCTACTGGACATTACATTGATTATGCTGTCAAGTTTGCTTTGACTACTATGACATTTTATTTGAAATATCAAATTACAACAACCACATGAAGTTGTATTGTAAGAAATAACAGCTCTCCACATAGTTGAGTCACACCAATGTTAGTGATGAGAGCACGTTACTAGCATCCACGACTTTTTGTTCTACAACACTTACACAGTTGAAACCTAGGTGACCAAGTGGTGAACACAAATATGTGCATCACTGAAAGAACATTTCCATTGCTTCTAGGCAACAGGTTTGAATACACACCATAGAAGACAAGGCAGCTATAAACACCACCGCTTAGAGAAGAGTTTGCTTTATAAAACTTTGGTAAGTGATGTTAAAAGAACACAGAAAAACAGGTTAGAACATAAGGAGAAATTCATGTGACAGATTAAAACATACTACAAAAACTATGTCAAAGCAAGCATACTGGTACCATACTGGTACTCCTTTTTCCCTATGGTTTCTTTTAGAGACACTTTTTTCCAAGCATAATATTTAAAAGTAAGAAATGTGAGATATTTTAATAAATGATTTTCCAAAAAACATCCACAAAATACGTCAGTGATTTACCACATTAATTCATACTCTTCAATGTGTTTGTGCAAATTATAGACGGGAACTGCTTGCCTCAAGCAAGAGGAATAACAACTTTAACCTACAGACTAAAAACTGCTTTAATTTACACTTGGTACAGCTGCATTTAGAAACACAAAGCCAGAAACATGCATGTGGCTAGCTGTATACACACCATCTTCCTCCTTGATCACCAGCATTCTTTCCTTTAAATTCACAACTACCTCTTATAAACTTCATAGGGAATAGCCAATGTTAATTTCAGCAGTTCAACTCCCACCATAAGAAAAGATGCTTTCGTTACAGCTTTTGCAAAATGATTACTTAAGTACTCTGTGAGCTCTATGAGCCATCCAGGCCTCCTTTCAGGCATTTGAAGAAGATGAGATACTTAGTATTAATACTTTAAATCTCCCTTTGCCTGGTATATTTCACTCAGGAAACTCAACAACCAAGCTGCAGATAAACTCTTATCAAGCTACTTATCAACGATCCAGAGGCCCTTGCATCTATTCACAGAAGGTGTACTTCTTGTCCTGTTTCTGTTACTTCTGCAAACTGTTGGGTAAGTAAACACTGTTTCACCAGAAATCATTGCAAGTCTGCATTTACCAGTCATTTACTCTACCACAATTTCTCAGGAAACATCACTTCTTACACCAGATTCAGGCTGGCTGCCTACTTCTTTTCTCATTTAAAAATAAATGGGATGAAACCAAGTAATTTGAGAGGCTACTTGCTTTGTTTCCTAAATGCACAGAGCTAACTTACTAGCAACATTAGCAGGAGATTTCAGTTATCTGAGACACGATTAATCTTCTCAAAGGGATACAGATGCAGGTAATGTTCTGCTAAATAATTTTTATGTTTTTTTCCTACAGTAAGACATACGTAGCATTGTAGTCACCAAGGAAAGAAGGCCGAAGAGCTGTCATTTAGCCAACCTATTGTAATTTAGGAGACATCCAGTTCCTTTCAAAAATTTACTTTGAAACCTACTTGGACAACACCAAACAGCCCTTATAGGAGGAAGAAAAAAATAAAGTATTACAGGAGGAAAGAGGAAGAGAAATGAAAGGGTCTTAATGTACATTCCCTATCACAAGGCTTTGGGATTCTCTGGGCCAGTGGATGACACTCCTCAAATCATACATTACCTGTGAAGCATCTTAAACACATCCTAATCCAGATGCTCAGGCATAGTAGAAACATCTTTTATCTTACCTTTACCTGGATAATTTGTACTTACTCCACTTCTATGTGTTGTGTAACGATAACTGGCAAAATAAATAGGAGTAGAGAAATGCAAGCTTATATTAAGCAAGTATTTTCCCTTCTTGCAAAAATCTAAAGATTATTAATTTTATTAAGGGTTTGGTTTGTTTGAGATTTTTTTCCTTCTTTAGACAAGATATTTCAGTTGTAAGAGCAGAGCACCTGTCACACCATAAACTGCACTCCAAAATTAATGAGTTTCACAACAAAACCTCACTGCACAAGAATATGTTATTCATTTGATCAAAACAAAATCAATAAGCTTTACTCGCACAAAAATTAACCAATTAAAAGCCTATTTTAAGAATAGTCTTATGAGAGAGTTGCCTTCTCATAAACATAACTCACACAGTTACTGCAACTTTGCTTTCACAGAAGCTCTGAGTTCATGCACTCACACTTCATGATGCAGAAAATTATGCAAATTAAAATTATGCAAATAAAACTGATAAAGTTCTTCAGAATCAACGCAGTCATCTCAAGCAGAAGTTGAGTACTGCTCAGTGAAATATTAAAACAGTTTCTTGTCTGTGCAGCTACTAAAAGCTATTTGAAAGCTTTTCTAAAGCAAGTTTAACTGATTAGGTCAGAATCCCTGGCTCTTCATAATCACATGCAGAAGACCCCTGCCATCTCAAGGGCTTATTTTCTCAGGTACTAAAGAAACTGGTAGTGAAGATGTAATGAATTACCAGCACTAGTTACAAAGCCATGGAATTCAAGCCTGAAGTTATGCCACAACTGCATGTAAGATGTTTGCAAGTTCTAAATTGTAAGCCTTACTGGAAGAGAGGATGCAAAAAAGAGCCAGATACAGATATTCAGCTGGCAGATGTACATGCTTAAGGTGAAAGGAAAAATACTACTTTTCATACACAAACAAAAAAAGAGAAAAGTATTTAGAAGAATGCACATACAAATCCAAAGATTGGTTGAGCAGGCCCTGGTCTGGCAGCTATTGGAAAGATTTACACCCACCCAGTCAGCAGAGCACTGTGTTGCAGGCTAGCAGAAAGACAGAATTGGGGACAAAAAATTGTGTGCTACAGTTTTACGGATGAGAGTTCAGGTCTACCGCACCCCTTTTATGCAGCCCTTGAAAAGGGGGGTTGAATTTGGATTTATTTTTAACTCCCCATTCTTCTAACTTCGGAAAAACAAGCAGCAGACAAGAAAACAAACATAAGACAGTAGTCAAAGAGTAAGTTCCTTAACAAGAAACACACTCAGATGTAACATACATAGAGAACTTTGCCTCCTGGTGGTAGTCGCAATTTCCTTCAATTTGGAAAAGCTTCAGGCTACTTCAGAAAGAGAATTTGACACTGAAGAACGATGACGAGGAGAGTCCCTGAAGCAACATGCGCACATCAAGCTTGATTCTTTCAAAAGAAGTGTTTTCAAATTCATAAATGAAGAAACCAAACCACAGGTTACAAAGTTATTGCCAAAATGTTTAAGGTACATGTTAGAGAAATCTAATAAAATTATTAGAACTAACATTTAATCTTTTAAATTTGTGCTATTTTACTAGGCATCTACAAAAGCTGCCAAAGTCATATCCAGAAGACAAGTATCTCTTAATAGGAGTTTACAAAATAAAGAATTTTGAAGAGCATTTAGTTTTTGCATAACAGACATTTTATGACTAAGAAACCTCACCTAGAAAAAAAACTTTAAGGAATTATTATGGTTACCAAAGCAGTACTCATTTAATATGTTGATGCCTACAGCACATCTTGTTAGAAGGCACCTTTCATACAGTTAAAGTAATGAAGGACAGGAAAACCAGCTACCCATTGTACTCAAAAGAACACTCAAAGCAGCTCCTCTTCCTTAGCAACTCTAAAAACTGGTTTTTACTCAAGGAAAACGCTACACAATGTAAACCTGAACACGCTATCAACGTGTTCCCTCAAAGCATCCATTCATATCACACTTACATACATGTTCTAGTTAAAAACGCAGGTAACCACAATGACTTGCTTTACTCTAACACAGCTAAACCATTGATGCAGAAATACTTCTTGGTAGTCTTGCATTAAAAGCAAATATTAAGACAGACTACAAAGCATATTTCTTCTGCTCCAAACAAGCAGGTTTAGTCTCATGACATTTCCTGAAGATCAAAGCTGATGTTTTTCATCCTTCAACTTCACAAATTTCTCCAACAAAGATTTTGTTATGTGTTATTTCAGAGCATTCTTTTTTTTTTATAAAGCAATATTTTCCAAAAGTATTGCTGCCAAAGGTTTTTAAGATCCAAGAGGAAATGTACACATGCAGACTCTTATTCCGTATTATCTGTAACTAAAATTTGCCTTCCCAAACATTAGGAATCCTTCAGCTTAACTCCCATACAGGGGAAAGCTTGTCTGAGCAAAATTAAAGTAGCTGGAGCAAACTAGAGGCTGCATTTGTACTACTGGATGAGCTTTACTGCCTAATAAAACATCTTTGCATCATATTCATTATGAACAAACACTGAGATATCTAAAAGAAAGCTACGTGAAAACTAGAAGTCCAATGTGTTCATTAACACAACAGCTTTTATGTTTTTGATTTACACAGTTACCTGCAGCATTAGGCACACCAAACATGTACAAGAATCCATTTACTTGTGCTTGCTTGTTTTCTAAACAACCTCACTGTTCTTCCTATTGCTCAAGACCCTTGAGGGTAGGGGGGGATAATTTAAAAAAACCAAAAAAACAAAAAAACACAACGACAACCACCACACACCACACCCAAAACCCACAGGACCCACTGTTTCCTGTCTTGGCCTTATGTTTTGTGCTTACAATGTACGTGGATTTACCTAGAGCTCAAAACCTTCTCCTAAATGCAGTACTCAGGTCATTTGCTAACCTCAAGACCCCCTCTAGATTTGTGTCTTCCTCTTGCTATGTCAACACATGGCACTCCACACCTTTTCAGGGCAGAAAGTTCTAACAGGAGGCTAGGCACTCAGCACTGATGTTTTAAAACTTCACTGGAGTGTTTGTATGTCACAGTAGATTTGTAGGACAGATCTTTCACTGTGAATTGAGAGGATATGAGCCTGAGAAAAAGAAAAAAAGAAAAAAATGCTGTTCACTTGAGGTATTACCAAAGATATGGACCAGATAAGGGTTAACATGGGAGTTTGTAAATATACCTTGTTCTGCTCCTAGGGACACAGTGGAAGCTAATGAAAAAAAGCAGACTGACCAAGTTGCAATAAAAGTAATTCTTGATTATTTAAGGAATAACAGATAATAAGTATTTTTAAAAACATGCAATTACTTGAATAAATACAGTCACATTTCACAAAAGTTTCCTCTGCTAACGAAACAAGCCTAAAGGGTCTACGTTGGGCATTTCAACCACAAATATCTCTTTTCCCTGCTGGTACCTGTACCGCACACACAGATTTTTTTCTGTTAGAATTATAGAATCATTAAGGTTGGAAAAGACCTCAAGGATCTTTTTAAAATGGACATTTGTTTCCTATTTCCTACAACACTTCATCTTTTAATTTGCTGAAATACTTCAGCCCTTGTTTGGGTTATATTAGCAAGACATCTTGGCTCCTCCTCTTACACTTTTAAAATTCTTGTTATGCCATTTGTTTCTCTTCAGTCCCCTGCTTATCAAAAGATTTTTTTTCAAATCAAAGCTTGTAACAACTTTACTGTTTTCTCTTCCATAGCTAATGCATTACTTAATAATAAACTATCTTAAGCTAGTTTTCATTTTGCTTTACCTGTAACAGCCTGTTCCATACATGCAAGGTGTCCTCTTACGCTTGATCTGTTTGGAGCTTTCTGAAGCACCTGCGCTTCTGGTTGAATCAGAAATCTCAGTCTTGTAATCCAGATTTGCATCACGCTCAAGAATCCCTTCCTGGGCACCAAAATATTGTGAAGTCCTGCCCCAGTCAGCTTCTTGGCTTGGAGAACCAGTAATTTGTTCTTTGTTTTCTGTTTCCTCAATTCTACTTGTTTTACTGGAGATCTGACCTACTGTTTTAGACCTTTTACTATGCAGCTGCCTATCGTTTTTTTCCAGAGAACTTCCAGTTTTTTTTGTTCCAGTCTTGCCATTTCCTTCCATGTTTCTCATGGTACTCTCAAGAGGAAATCCAGATGTATTCTGTGGAACAAGGTTACATTTTGAAGGACCTGAAAAATCTACACTCTTCAGAATTAAAAGCTTTAAGGTCAAACTCTGCCACATGTCATCATTCTGGTTTTCAAAATCAGAGAATCACAGAACAGCCCAGGTTGAAAGGAACCTCGAAAGATCATGTGGTCCAGCCTTTAAAATCTTCTGCTCCACTTTCCAAACTCAAGTTAGCTGCTAAACACAGCTGCTTAAGTTAAGAACACACACATACACAATTTAAAAAAACACTTATCCTAGAGCTCCTCTCCTCAGCTTCAGTTCCCTCACAACATAGGCTCCCCTCTCACTACCTCAGTTTGGGAGCAGTCCATGGACTTTAGCTTAAATTAAAAATACTGCTCCTGAAAAATGAATGGGAGTTATACATGTGAAGATATAGCAGCCTCTAGAAGAACATACATTTCTATATGAGAATCAATTTTAATCCCTTAAATACCAAGTATGCAGGAGATGCATATATCTATATGGGAATTCATTATATACACCTTGAGCTTAATCCCACTACAATACATCTTAAATGCTTCAACTCATGACTCTAAATCATAAACCAGTTTGTCAGTAGATAACACCAGGCAACAATTTCATTTTTGACAAATACTGCATTTTAAATTTTGGAACATATGTACACTTAAATTAAGAGATGTGTGCTTTAGAAAACGAATGAGATACATAACCAAGGAACATCGTCCCAACAACCAAGACGTTACCTGGAAGCATATCTATATTGAAGGCTGAACTACTTTGATACACTACAGAACTATTCAAATGTCTCTGCTCCCTACAGTTTAGTATCTAGGTCCCCCCTCCAGTAAATGTATACTTAGTTTACACAGATGTGTTTGGCAGAGTTTGAAAATCATCTGGTAGTTTCCTATTTGATTTTGTTCCTCTCAGTGCAAGTCTCACAAATGTTAACCAAAACGAGAGACAATTATATTTGAGCAGCAATGGGATTAGCAAAGCCAGCGTTAATATCAAATGATCCCGACAGCAGCACATGTAGTAGGTCACCTCAGAGACAAAGATGACTCTCTTATCAAGACTCCCAAAATACAGCTCAAACAACTGCAGCTTAGGAAATAAGCCTTCATTCGAAAAAGGACAACTAGATTACTCGAATTTGCCACTCCCACTTGTAGCTTCTCTACTACATACTGAAACCCATTGTCTATATTGTATATAATGAGACTAAACACTTTCATGTCTACTACATTGACTAGTTAAAAAACAGGTTGCAACCAAGGAAAACCACAGACAACAGCACTATTGGCACTGATTATA